GGGGGGAAATGTACACCCTGACTGGCTTATGGCCAGAGTCAGGGGCAGGTCTCCGGGGGTTTAACCTACCCTCACCCTTTCCTCCACCGCCTCACTCCGTCCGATCACTAACGCCTGCCCCAAATGAAGAGCTTCATTCTAAAATGAGATATCTGCCGTTTGAAAAAAGAAAAGAAACGCAGAGATAGAAACACCTGCTCTGACAAAATGACAGATAGCGGGGGGAAAATAAATCCTCGTGCTGAGACGTTCCGGGATGAACGTGAGGTTGCTGTCGGAGTAAAACGAGAAGGCAGTTGCAGACTGAAGCTTCTCTGTCTCACAGATAAAGTTCAGATCGTAAATATTGTTTCAAAATGGATCCACAAGTCAGCTCCTCATACTGGATAATTTAAACGGCCATCAGGACCCACGAGGCTTCTACCACAGCAGCAGTGCTCATCACGGCATCTCGTGCCTACTGAGGTGTCCCTGGGCAGCAAATGCTCTTGACCCTGACCTCCGGATAATGTCTGTTTTTTCCATGGCTTAAAGTGAGAAAGTACATTAACTCAAGTACTGCTAAATACTGTATGTTTGACGTTAAACGTGGAATAGACAGTAAGACGCATTATTGCAAAATGTAGAAAAAGCGTGCACATAGATAAATCCATGGATGTGGATCGTCCTGCTCAGAGGCTCTGACTATGAGTTCAGACCTGTTTCTATATAAAATGAAAAACTTTTGAGCTGCTGTGGAAGAAATGCCCAAACTACAGAAGAGACCAGCAGTTAGTGTAGCAACAATACGTGAAATAAGAGACAGTGATGTGTACCCGGCTGGCAAATTTGAAGTGAAATATTGAAGGAGCAAAGGAGGCTGCTGATCGACAGATGGCAGGTCGGAAATACGGAGGGTGATCGACACAACCAGAGCCTGGCTTGTCCACTAGTGACTAACTGTGATAAAAAGTGATGTTTGATGAGCAAATCACTTCATACGAGGACAAGTCTTAAAAATCAAGGTATGACACTCCACATGTGACAGGTTTTTCTGCAATACTTTACTGAAGTGATTCATTTAATGCATCACGATAAATAGTAGTTTTTTAAAAGATGACTTAACATCACAGGCTGTCCTGTCACCAAAACACTAAAATGAGACTACACAAGTTTGTGTCACATAAAAGAAGATTCTTATTAAAGCAATTCATCAGAAACATGTCAAGGATGTGTTAAATAATCCTATAAACTACTCATATAGCTGAGCAATGAAAGTATTGTGAAACACTAATATGACAGACAGTAACAGTTAACTTATGTCCCTGAATTATTGAATCAGGTGGAGCGAGTGTAGATCTTAGAAGACTTAGAAGACGTGTTTGTAGCTCTGATTTCAAGTTAGATTTTTACATGACAGGAAACTAAATAATAGTCAGATTTAATATTTTTCATTCAGGTTTAATATAAATTCCTATAATATAAATTTATTAGAGTACCAATCAATATAATGATGGGAACACCC